AGCTTGTTCTGTCCTCTCGCCGATCTGACCCGAGGTGCGCACTTTGGCGGTCAAATCTGGTGTGCACACGAGTTATGTTGAAATTGGTCGGGGCCGTCTGAGGATCGAGCGCGACTTATCGCCATTTTTGCGGGCGTTCTCCGCGGTTTCCAGTTTCTCTCCACGATCCCGATGCACCGTCTGGGGGCAGAGGTGCTCGAGGCCGCGGCTCATCGTTCCCGTTTACACGGAGGTCGGCAGGGCTCGCGCAGGGGCCGCCCCGGCGGCTCGGCAGCGCAAGGTTCCCGCTCGCGCGGGGGCGCCAGGCGCCAGCAGCCGCGCAGCCAACCTGCTGGAGGCGGCCCGAGGGTCGCGGCGACCGTGGGAGCACTGGCGGAGGCGGAGGCACCAGAGAGGGATCGACGGGGACTCGGGGGCCGCGGAGGCGCAGGAGCAGCACGCGCTGGAGCAGCACGCGATGACGCTCGAATGCAGATGGGCCAGACGTATGGACTGCCCGCCGACGCCCCCGAGAAGCTTCCTGCCATGGACATAGATTTATATGCGCGCGCCTGTTTATCGCGATCATGCGGGCCGTCTTTGGCAACTCGTTCAATTCGAGGATGCTGATGGCAGCGGAGTCCGTGACCGCGGCGATGGAGGAGCAGGCGGGCGCGATCCAGAGCGGCTTCCAGGCGGGCCGCGCGTGCGCCACGGAGGCGGCGAGGATGCGCGACGAGCGCGGCCAAGACCCGACGGGCAAGGAAGTGCCCGAGGTGATCATTGGCCCAGCGTGCGCGCAGGTGTTCTTAACCGTGGCTCGAAAGGTGTCCGACATGGGCGGCAAAGTGGGCATAGCCAATGCCGAGACGTGGAAGGAGCAGCAGGATCGCCTCGACAGTATCTGCGGCGGAGGATCTCGCGATGGTGGCGAAAGGGCTCCGCGCGAGCTCGGCGCGCAAGGAAGGGCTCGCGCAGGTGGTCTTCAGCCTGGCCGAGCCCGCCATGCAGCGCGCGCTCCAGGATTGCCTCACCCAGATGGGGGCGGTCTTGCGTCCAGGGGTGGCTCCACGTTCACACGCGGAAAGGGTGCTCCCGGCGAGTTCGAATTTTGAGGGCCGATGGCGTTAGGGCGGGCGTCAGTGCGCAAGTCCAGGAGATGGCTGCCCTGTTTCAGTCGCCAACGGTTGCTCGATTCGCTGGTGTTAGATCGCTAAGTCCAGGGGGTCGCCTCCCTGGCAAGTCGCCGCCGCGCCAACCGTCGCCACGCGCTGGACAGACGATCGGCGGAGGCTGGCAGGATGGAGCGGGCGTCGCACAGAGATCTTCGCCTTCGAGTACTGGGCGCGGAGGAGAAGGCACCGTGCAGTACCCTTTGGATGCTGCTACTAGAAGCTCTCGAGGGCCAGCTCTTGCCCTCAGGTTGCATGCGAGGGGGCGCCGATGGCCAGCTCGAGTTTGCAGGGGGCCAGTGTGAGTTCGATGACTGCTACTCCATGTGCGAGTGTTGCTACTTCATGCTTGAGAAATACCAGTTCTGGATCGCCGATGCCACTGAGGGGGAGAGCAGCGTCGGTGAGGGTTCCCAGGGCGACTGAGGTCTCGGGAGCCGTGAACGCCCTGCAGGAGGCTCGTGGTGCTGCCGCCGTCGCTTGCCCCCCTCTCCTCCTCCCCGTCCTCTGAGACCTCTCCCGTCCTCCACCTACTTCAATGACCGGGTGGCCTATGCCGCGCGTTTTTAGCCTTCCTGGTTTTTTGAACCTCCGGGCTGGATCTCTGGGTCGCCCTCGCGTAACATTCGCTCGCGTCTGCTCGTCGTGAACCGCGGTCGAGCCAAGGCAACTCGGGACCCCTGCCTGTCTGGGGGGGCCGTTGTTTACTCGCAGTCAGATGCGCGCGATATGTCGCACATTGCAGAATGCCCCTGGCGAATCCTGCTCTGTGGTCACTCAGACGCGCGGCCCGAGATCGTTCCACCACCGCCGCCACCTCCTTCTCCTAGACGGCTTTTCGGAGCAAGCAGTTGACGGAACATCTCGCCCGAAGGGCAGCGAAGATACCCAGCCACGGCGCCGGCCCGACTCGCCTCCGCGGGCCAAGGGGAGGAGGGGGTCCGTTTGAAGTCGAGCAGGTGAGAGGACACGCATGGTGCGGGGGAGAAGACGGGGCACATCCGCAAACCGTACTTCATTCTGATCGTTGCGCCTTTCTGCTTCTGGAGCCTGCGTGGGATTTTTGATTGCACGAGGGTTTGCAACGTTCGGCCAAGCAAAACAATTGGATTTAGAACGCATTCTGTTGCAAGAGGGCTGCAGTCCAAGCGTGCAACACATTTCTTTAAATTGGTGGTTTCCCATGTTCACTCAGCGGAAATAAGTCACGATCCATCTATTGCATGCGCTGATTTAGATGTCTTACGACAGTGTGCAGGTTTTTTTTTTTTTGTTGCATGCCACGTCTTATCCCGTGTCTAGTGTTCCTTATCGCGATGAACAGGCATGGTCTTCCGACCTTGGCCTCGCGCAAAAATGCGCAGCGTTGCCCTGGGCCACGGGGGAGGGAAGGCCGAGCGATGTCGCGTTGTCTGTGGCCGATTTTGTCGACCGTGATTCTGAAGATGCGTTGGACACTAGCACGGAAAGTTTTTGGAACACGGCTGTTTCATAGAAGGCGGCTTGCGTTTTTTGGGGCCAGACCGGCGACGAAGAGAACCGGATTATGCATCCGAGCTCGTCGGCCGGTCGTTTTGCAGCTGAATTGTCGCAGGAAGTTCGTGCAGTTGACCGACCTTTGGAATAGCTTGCCAAATCATGTCTCGGCCGATCCAAGGGCACGCGACGACGAGTGTCACGTCTTCTATGAGAGGATTATGAAACAGATGACGCCGTTGGCGTTCGTGGGCCCAGCTTCCCATTCCTTTGTTAGACGTCGCGAACGTTCGTTGGTTGAAACGGCTGTGGAACAGCTATCCAAGGAGGTTCACGGCGCATGGCGATGTTGACGCCTGGGAGGCCCGTTGCAGGGCTTCTTGTCAGAAGACAAGGCCTGTCGATTTCGGACAACAACAATGTGATGATATACGGGGCGAAGTGCCTGCACAGTGCGAAAACACTCGGGAGCCAAATGTGAGAATGCAGACAACTCATGGAACAGGACTTTTCGTCGAAGTGGCAGCATCCCTCGGACACGGGAGAGAAGTCACGTCGCACGAAATAAAGCACAACATGCAGGTTGAATGCGATATTGGACACGTGTTGCAGGTGTTGCACGATTTGGTTCGAGTTGAAATGTTTACGGTGAGTATTGTCACGTATTACAAGTTGGCATATCAAATACGAGACATGCCTGCTCCCCGCGGCGCGCATTCGGGGCGTCGCCGTGTCGATCAGATAAGAGCCCCCTAATTCTCCACAGCCCCCCGAGCAACAGCAACAGGCTCGCGCCAGTCCGCGGCCCCGGCTCTTCTCCTCGCTGGCTGGGTTTCTTCTCCTCATCCGTTCCTCTGCCCCCTTCTTGCTCCTCGTTCCTCCCCCCTCGCTTGCTTCCTTGTGCCTTGCCCTCCCTTCGGGGCTGCGTAGTTTCGATTCCCTCTGAGACTGGCTCCGCCCTTGGCCGACAGGGCCAGCCAGTCCCGACCCTCGAGTCATCCCCAAAGCTTGCGAGCGGATTTCCCCCCGCTGCGTCGCCCGTGCGCCCTGGCAGCCCCTGGAGGGCGAGGGCGGGTGGGGGCGGGGGGGATGAGGCGCTCGCCAATCGCGCGCGTGG